CTCCTGACTCCAATGTCCACATCATTAATGAAGATGTTGAACAATGTGGGTCCAAGGACAGAGTCTTGGGGGACCCCATTGGTCACAGGACACCATGATGAGTAACTGCCATCAATTACAACCCTCTGGGTCTGACCACGGAGCCAATTTCCCAGCCAGCGGATCATGGTGGACCCAAGGCCACGGTTGGCTAGTTTCGCCAAGAGGTGGTCATGGGATACCAGATCAAAGGCTTTTTTGAAGTCAAGATATATGACATCAATCTCTTCTCCCTTGTCCAGGTGATAGGTCACCTGGTCATAGAAGGAAATGAGATTGGTCAAGCAAGACCTACCCACAACAAACCCGTGCTGGCTATGATGGTGAGGCTTGCTGGAGCATTGTAATTAAAATGCTCCAGCAGGCTCGATTTATCTTAAGAAGATTAATGAAGTCTGCTCCAATGCATTCTAATTATAACAGGTTGGAGCATGTGTATAGGTATCCTAACTGTCTTGAACTGTTCAGTTCACACATAGATCCACCCAATTACTGTAAGGTGCACACGTATGCAAACTAAGTTAGATTGGGTTATGTTTTTTAATGTGATCTAACCTCCCCCTAAACTCCCCAAATGTCTGTACACAGCCTAAGGTACCACCTCATTCTGCCTTCTACCTGTCCTCACACTAACAGGGCTAACCCTCTCTGCACTTTATTTCATTAATGATTTAACTCCTTAAGACTCAGGGTTTATTGGTCTGAATCCCACTTCCATCACTGGCAACAGGGTGTTAACTTGTCCCTGTCATCTTAAGTTTCCTGTTTGCATCTCCTTAACTACATCCAATACAATTCTGCATAGTAGCATACCACCACTGGTACCAAAACTTCCTGGGGCCTGATTTATTGACTTAAAAAGGCTTAGGATTTGGCCTGTGCTAGCCATTCCCATAAAAGACACCTCCAAGTCCAGTCTCAGAGTGTACCCTAATGCTGTGATCTGTTTAGGTAAGAGTGTTTGAACAGTTCAAGAGACTCATAAATGAATAGCATCATGAAATATTTAGGAGATCACAAAATTACAGCATAAGTCATGAGCTTCTTAAGAGGAGCAGACTTTATGACATAACCTTGCTGCAAACCAGCAAAATGCACTGAGATAAAACAAATTCATTTTCTCTCTAAACTATAACAAGAAGCTATTTCATAAATCAGTGAAGGATGTCCTCTTAACATGTGATAACAAATTTGTTTGGATTTTTCTCTTCTCAGCAAGAAAGCAATTAGGCTTTTTCCAATAAAAATATCCTTGTGCATATATAAACACTACTGGTAATCATGTAATGACCTTACCCAATCAGATTAAATTGCTGTCAGTTGAGTTACCACTGCTGATTAACTTTAGTGTACTTTAAATCTAAATGAAGTCTTTGGTAAAGTGCACTTAGTCATTTACAAAGGTGTCTCTATGACTCTAAAAAGTATAACAGCAATATATTATTTGCCATAATCATCAGATGTCTAAGGTCAAGGATAGATCATACTGAACCCCTTTTATAAAAACCTAGAGAAAAACCAAATTAAACTGTTGCTTATTTTTGTGTCCCTTGCCATGACTTCTAAATGTAATAGTAACCCTTGCCCCCCACCACATTAAACACTGCAATTATATAATTAAAACTAATTATGTAATTTCACATACATATTTTTGTCCTATGGGGGAAGGTCAATTACTTCACTCATTGACCTTGAGAGATTTCACATTTTAAAGCCAAACAATCAGGCTTTAAATTAATTTTGAAGTACAAATGGAAAAGGAACAGCAGACAGCAGAGCTTATCAAGCAAACATTATGGAGCAGACACTTACAAATCTCTTAATTTTAGATTTTTTATTCCATAACTCCCTTCCTGCTCATTCCCCACTTTTCTCTTTTCTTATAGCTTCCTGTCCCTTCTGGATTTTGGGGGTGGAGGGGTTGTTTTATTCTGCATGTCTTTCTCTCTTTCTTTTATATTCTTGTGCCTTATTTCCATTTTTGTCTTCCTTCTCCTTGGTGCAATTCCTCAGTGTCAGTAAACTTGTTAGTAGTCTAAGTATTCCACTACTGACCTGACCTGTTCCCATGCCTGCCTCTACTTCTGCCCCCACCAGTGAGTTGCTTTTCCAGGAGATGGTGTTTCCCATCAGCTATGGGCTACAGTGGCTTCTGGCAAGAGAGATTCAGCACAGTAGCAGAGCAATGAACTGCAGGCAGCCACAAACAAACATGGCACAATTTTAAAACATCCTTTTGGTCTCATGAATGCTCCAAATATTCCAACCCTGGAAATTTGGTAGACATGAAACACACAGTATGAGATTACTCAGTGGTGTTTCAGTTCTTTAATACTGCCGTTGATCTTTTTGTAAAGTACACACAGGTTAAGTTATATATTGTATTACAGATTGTAAACAAATTCCTTTTAAAGGGAATCACTCTGGTCAGTTATCTCTCTGGCCAGGTACAGACATTACACTTTTAGTGGTATAAGTAATTAGAAACTAGACTATACCTGTAACAGAACAGAAGTTTGGCGCACACAGTCTGGTTTTAAAATGGCATAACCTGGTCTAAGTTTTGCCCTCCCCACCCCACCAAGGGGCAAATGTGTGTTCTGTTTGCTACCAATCTAAATTACACCACTTACAGAAAACCACATAACTTAGAGCAATACCACCTCAGGCTTTTTGAATGTCTGTATCTAACCTCTATGCATAGGAAACCATTTTTCCCCTCTCTATAGTAGAATGATCATCATAGTATACAGAACATTGAACCGTTTAAAATTTTCAGTAAACAAAGTCCTATGTACTTCTAGTTAAATGCATCTCTCAGTCTAGAAAGGGCAATTGTTAGAAGTGAGTAGATGTGTGCTTGTGTGGTCAAGTGTGGTAAGGGTCACCTTGTGATAGCCTTACTCAGTGAATGCTGTCTTAAACACAAACTGTCTCAGTGAAATCAGTAGGCTTAAATGATCAAGTAACGTAATAGACAATATATATGCAATGGCATTTTAATGTAGCCCTAAGTGTCTTTTGTCTACATTTTGCTGCATATGGGGATTCATTCTTAGGTTTCACACAGAATTACTGACAAATGCCCCAAAGTATGGCAAAGATAACTAAAACATATTTCTTTGCAGAATCATCTCTGGGTGCACGTTGGCTCTATCAAACACATCATCTTCCATTGGGTTCTCACCTTTGAACAGGCTTACCACACTGAATGAACTAATGAAGGCTTTGAACAAGCAAGATGGACAGATATCAGTCAGTCTTTGACATAAATGGAGCAGGGAGGAAAAACAGAATTTAAGCTGGTGGCAAGCCTGACTACAACAACAAAACTCAAACTGGATTTTATTTATATAACAATGAAGT